CATCTCGCCCTTCGTACACGGGAACCAAGCGGTAGATCCATACTCCATGATAACCCTATATCCAGGGAGACCAAACATTTATTATTAACCAACTCCCGCTTTTTATAGATCACGACAGACTGATAAGCCTTTTGTCAGGTTCACTTTCTTTTTAAATATTTTCGTCCTTTTGTCTCGAGGGTGTGACCCGTCATCCGAATGCATTTACCGTTTTCCGCAGTAGTCTATTAAACGTTCGTGCGTTCTGCCTCTGTGCACTTCCGAAAATAAAAAGCTATTGGTGATCTAAACAATCCCTTAGGGGTTCAGCCGTTTGTTTACATGGCGAAGAATAATAAAAGTCGTAGTTAGGTTCCAAATCACTGTTGTAAACCAGACCTGTCAAATGAGAGTATTATTTTGATTGGCTTCGGTGTAAGGCGGATTCTACCTCCTGAAACTGTCATTAACGAGGTGGATTCGTCCTTAAGTGTAGCTTTTGTTTAACGCGATTTGTCTTGATACTTCAAGGATCATAAATAAAGATTATTGGCTTCAAGTTTTAGCGACACATGGAACTCTTTGGTCCGTTCAAAATGCGATGTTTCTTACACGCGCTTAATAGAAATTCCTATTTTCTTTCAGGCTAAAATGGACCACGATAGAAATGACCAAGAAGAACCCGCAATTGACCTTTCAGTGAGTCACAGATTTTAGATATCTTAACAATTATTCAAGGTGTTTTTTTTCGTTTACTCTTGCCATGGATGGAACTCTTTGTTGATACAGATTTATTTACGATGGACGGCCACTTAGCATTTATTTTCATACGTCGCTTAATTTACTTTCACCTTTATTTCCAATGTAAGCTTTAGTTGATTTTCTTCCAGGACATCGTACAAACCTACATACCTGATGCCTTAATGTATCATTGTTATCTTTGCGTATTTGTTCTAAACCCGCATAGCTGGACGTTGAGTCAAACTTTGACGAGATGCTTTCCGCCTTGCGGGTAGGCGTAGACAAACCGTCAGCTGATAGAGGCAATTACAACGAGGACCCCACCAAATATAGTTCACATTCACCTCAAACTGACCTGGATGCCTACACTGCCCCCAACTCCGAGGGTTATGAACCGTATTTGCAAACCCCACCTGGTGGCTTGGAGGCGGAACACGGCCAAGTTGCGACGACTAACGGATACGAAAATTGTGCGACTGAGAGGGAAAAATCCTCTTTAGAGGACAGAGAAAGTCTTGACAGCTCTGCGGAGGACTTTGAGGACGAAGTCGTTCACCATGACATTGTGGAGGATAATTATAATGACGACCAACCGTGTGCGGCCTCAGCAGAGGAGACTGAAGTCCCAATACAGGCTGAAGAAATTCAGCATACACTAGAAGTAGGCTAGCACTGCGTGGTCGATGTGCAGCACCTGCATGTTTTGCGCAGATGGTGTTTGATATTGCTTCCCTGTGTGGCTATGTGTAACTTGCTGTTGCTGTGTACTGTGTGCCGCATTTTTTGTTCAAAAGCGTACAAATACGTATTTTCCTGTTTTAGGACGAGAGGTCCGAGAGTAAATACGCTGCAGGTGAGTTCAGACACCATATTACGGACCTGGCTGGTTCCAGTTTTTTTTACTCA